CTTAATATCCGACAGGTCTACCGCGTAATTGAAGCCAGAATTGATCTGTCAGAATGAAGTCTTGAGTGATCAGTCAGGCTGACAGATCAACTGTCAGCAGACTGATAACGATTGTTATGTCCAATTTTAGACTATAGTGGTACAGCCGCTGCACTCAAAAATCTAAGAACGTAAAACTACAAAATAAATGTAACTGATTTTCTTTAGAATTCATGCCAATTTTACAGAAGACATTTTTCATTTTACTTCCTAAGTAATTTATTAAATTTTATTTCTTCTAAAATATCTTCTTCTTCTTCTTCTTTTATTGATGGCCCATCTGCGCGTTTCGCACAATTCCGCCAATTTCACGTGGATAGCCACTACACGATAGGGATTCTATACATAATTAATTTGGAAAAGAGATTCTAATATTTAAATAAATAATTATACACTTTCTATGTCGATAACGAACCTGAAACAAAACACATTTTATCGCATGCATCACGTTACACAACACAACACATATACAGGCATAACATTTTAGTAAGGGGGATTCTAAAATATCACACAGACCGGTACCTAAAGGATGACAGCTCGTTATGTCATAATTCAATTTCAAGTTTCCTCCATTGAAGATACTAACTTTTACGAAAGGTTTGTTAAGTGGATAATTATAATAAATTGTCAAGATTTGTTGCTCTACTTTGAAGTAACGTCAAGAGATAGTATAAATTATGCTGACCATAATAATCAATTTGAAAAACGCTATTTTGTTTCATACACGACACGACTTATATTTGAACGTGGATTTGATAAATTTACATTCAAGATTGCCCAATTCAAGTTATATAAAAAAAAAAAACATTTTCAGGAGTCGACGTTTTATCGGGTATGAATGCATTGTTCCAGTTATAATATAATATATCAGGTCTCTTTGATTGATTATTATAAATCTATGCTTGAATGTGATTCTACTTTACTGAATACGTATATCAAATCTACAATAGCAATAACGGAATACTGTCTTTGAAAATGTCTTTATTCAACTAAGATTGTTTCAAGCACTTTTGAATCGTCCAAAAATTTTTTTTTCTCCTACCACTTATTCAGTACGTATTTTAGCTGACAAGAAGACCAAGCGAAAGAAACTTACCAGCTCTTTATCATAAGTTATGACAATTACATAAAATGTGACATTACCATATAGTACGTATTATAACAATAATAAATACTTTCAAAGTCAGCAGGACATATGCATAATTAGTCGTTATAGAACAAAGCGAAAGCTATTAATTCCATGCATTGCGGTCCTTAAAATAATCATCAAGTTTATAATAGCCTCTACTTATAAGTATGTTCTTTACATGAATTTTTAATTTATTTATGGGTAGGTCAATAACATTTTGTGGAACTTTATTGAACATAGCCATGCCATTTAACCACAAATGATCCTCTGGTTTTTTGAAGTCTGAAGCTTGGAATGGCAAGTTTATTTTTATTTCTTGTGTTAAGTTTATAATCACTATTTTTCTTGTGAAGAAATCGTAATGTTTTCTTGTGTATAAATAATTTACCAATAATTATAGTCGTACAAAAGTCGTACGTTAAGTAAATACGAATAATTCAACAGGGTGATAAATATACACATTGTTCTTTTACTAAGAAATTAAATTAGATATTTTCTTCTGTTTGTGACAGGACCGAACCTTTAGAAATATAATTTAGTATTCTTATTTTTAATTACAGTTTATTTGGACGTTGTTTCAACGCACAAATACAGTAGAAAATTAATGATTTTGAATGTACGCGTTCTTTGAACGAGAAAAGAATGGATAGAACATATCAGGATGAATCGAATTTAATACGTCACAATTTTCAGTTGTAAATGTTTCGTCACGTACCGATCACAATAGCACTGTTCTTAACATAAATTGAATTCTGTTTGAACAACAAATAAATTCAATTACGTAGTCAACATCAGAACTGGTTAACCAAAACTGACAAGTTTCTAAAATTGATGTTTATAACCCTCAACACATTGAAATTAAAGCTGTCACGAACAGAATCTTACAACATGATATGTTGCAAATCATTAGATCGATATCTTATTTAAATAAAATGGAGTATATTTTTAAATTATAACTATTAGAAATCAATGTTTGTTGAAGAAAAATGGAGCAGTGCAGGGCGGTGGAAAGTGAGATAGAACAGAACCAGAAATTGTTTAGCTGAATTTACTTATATTGCATTAATTTCACTGATAATTGCACGCGTCTACTTTCATAATGCATGCATTAGTTTCATGATACTAGATTAAGCTCGTGCCATGCGCATATTGATGAAACTAATGTCACGCTTTAGGTACAGTATTCGATATTCATGCAAACCATGCGTCTCAAGTTCAATAACACGCACTTAACATTTTAATACCATATGTAGGATTTTAAGGTTCTTAATGGTTTCTTACTACTTAGAGCAGCATATTGATAATAAAAACTACTGTGTTTTTAATCACAGTCATCACTCCAGATGTTATGTATTGTTATTTTTTTTCTTTTTTCTCGCTTCTTTTTTCTTTAGAAATTTATTTTTTCCTAGGCAGCTGAAATATTCGAATGTAATCTCGTGACAGTGACAGGCCACGGTTGATATGTTATTTTCTGACCGAATGACGTCAGAACATGGCGGATTGCGTTTTCAGCATTTTAGTGTTCCAAATGTAAGTTACAGGAGACAATTTTTATTTTTATTTTTACCATACAAAATATGCATTTATTTCGCCAACAAAGTATAAGGAAAGAAAGGAAAATTTCAACAAAAATTACACGATTTTTTTTTTCCAAAATTTCATTCGTGGATAAACAGAGTAGGCCCCCAGATACAGCTTCAAACGCAACGCTGCCGTAGCATTCGAGATTCAATCAGACGAAACCTTTATCACCTGTTGAAGTAGGTTTTATTTGACTCAATCATTGAGTTTATTAAAGAAACCAAATTTAATAACATGTATAAAGGAATTTATCGATTAATTTACTACTACTATTAATATTTTTGTTTATTAATAAACAAAAATTTTAAAACGTTAAACGACATCTCCTAGTATGGCAGCACGAAAAGCTCGTAACAGACGGTGAAGATTCTTTATTATTATATCTTAAGATAAAATATTTTCCGCCATACAATTCAATGGCCCAACACACACCTAAGATAATAAAATATTTACATATATTAATATGTTATCTTAATACGAAATACTTTAGCATCTTAACCGTCTATTACCAGCTTAAGCACATACCATACCAAATTCTTTCGAATTATTTTAAATGTTAAACTGTCAATAAATTAAGATTTAAGATTAGTTCGAGAAATCTGAAATTATTGTATGTCAAATATGCTGCGGAGTTATCAAAAAAATTGCCATGATTAGCCCTTTTAAATTGTTCGCTTTGAATTGAGTCATTATAATTTTCTGAGTATGATATAGTAAATAGTACAGAAAAGGTATACGACAGGGGTAACAATAAAACAACGAGATGTAAACACAATCCTTTAACAGTATTACAGACAGACAATAAAGTTTAGATACAAAAAGATAGATATATGATGTAGTTAGATAAAAAGATAAAATATTTTAAAGGCCTTACAAATTGGCTATGAAAAATTTACATGATTTTTACAACTTAAAAGTAGTTAAACCGATTACTCAAAGATAGATTGAATATAATTCAATTATATTTAAATATATCCTCTGAAAAACAGTCAGATAAATTTAGAAACCTAATTTTCATACTCCTTACAGTAAAGAAATGAGCACAAATTTCTTTTTGTTTGGTCCCATTTCAACAATTTTCTTTTTTTTTTTTTGATATTACATAACATACTGTTAGGTAGCAACACGATATGAAAAGCAGACACCAAATGATGTTTCGGAAATGAGAACGTTTACATAGATAATAAGGTTAAATATATTTACACAGCATATTCCAAGCTCGACAATATATTGTAGTTTATACTAACGTCATCTTATTAAGCCGTTTAAAGCAAAAGGTCATTTAACTTCACCTCCAAACATTATTACGTGAAACAATATGATGTGATTGTGATTTAGTATTGAAGGATTTAGCATCACCATCTACAAGTACCAGTGTTGCCAATGTTTTACTTCTACCCACAAATGTAGCCACAAGTTTATTAACTGTTAAATAAGACAAAGTTGTTACAGATGAAAATAAGACAAAGAAAAACAAATGAAGTTTTCAAAATAATATTTCAACTCTCCATCTCCTTCGAGTTGGATCTAGGACTAATTGTTTGTGATTGAAAATTTTACAATGAACTTATTCCGGTATGCAAAGACTGTTCAGATATTTCCAATACATGTCACTGTACCAAAATAATAAAATAAAAATTCACCAGCCACGAAAAAAATTCTTAGCTAAAAGGAGGTCTTAATTTACAGTTCTAGTGTCAATTTAAACAAAATTGGCAACACTGATAAAATTTGCCATCAATGCAGAAAACGAACTCATTTATATTGTCTGAATCAGGTGGTTAAGTTAGGGAATCGTCGTTAAATGAAGTAATTAAAGGAATAAATTGTTTTGTCCTCATTAGAATTTAAAACGGTGAATTATGTAAATTGTAGCTATCCGTTTGATCGACTCCATTCTAGTAGCTACCTACTGCTTTAGAACTAATGCGAAATCTCCAACTTTTCATTAAAATTTCGACGTGCCTAATCAATCTTGATTTTGCTGATTCATTTATAGCACCTGCCTTAAAACATAACTTAATATTCCAAATTAATATTGCTACAACAACAGTCAGGTAAAAAGAGATCTGTCGTACTTCCTATAAAAGTTTTCTTCTTAGATCCGTTAAATCCAAGTCTATTTATCTGTACTTTTGTCTTAAACTTTCATACAACTCCCTCGGGTATTTCAGATCCAAGATCAGAACTCTTTTTACCAAACGTAAATTTTACTGTACCATAATTAAAATAAAAACATTTTATAATATCACTGAATAATACACGAACGTTTGTCGCTTTGTCCGCTTGTGCGAACTAGTCTATTCAAGTTGAGCTTGGGACTACCGCTGGCGCTGTCACTGTCTCCTTTGGCACAAGTCTTCGTTCTCATAATCATGAGATCTGTTCTGATGCTTGGTCGACGTACATTAGGGGCGACAACGCCGCACGCGTCTGACAGCCTCCTTTTAATAGAAAGCGTGCATTTCTTACTTCTATTGCTTTGGCTACTCGTAGGAGGGAGGGTACACGGGCTGCCGAATGCCGTGCTTACGCGCTTGTGATGATTCGGTGCCATCTCTAACGGTAGATTGGCTACGACGAACAACTCGTAGAATAGATCGTCGACATGGAAGTTTTTCTTTGCCGACGTTTCTACGAATACGCACGCGGAATCTTGGGTGGTGCAGTATGCTTGAGCTTCTTCGGGCTGGACAGTCCTGTAAAGGATAAAACTTTAAGACCTCTAATAATATCATATAAATATAATAATATGTATTTATTCATTTTTTTAATCATAGTGACACTGGTTGTGATTTGTTATATGAGGTCGAACGAACATTGGTTTGCCAGGACATTATTTGTTGTAATACTAAATGACAAAACTCAATGTACTAAAATATTTGAAACATAATTATTACTAGAATTCAAAACCTGCCCTGCGATTCCGTAAAATTCAAACCCTAATTGAACCCATGTGGCCGAATTCGGGTCATTAAGTGAAAAATTCTATTGTTTCCATTTTTTGCATAATATCTCAGATATTCTATTCCTATGTTATTTCGAAACTCACATCACTTATGCCACGTAACGTTATTACCAATTCAAGATTGAAAAGATGCCGCTTTTTGAAGTGATTTCTGACACCTGAGCGAATTTGAATTAGGGTTTAGATTTTTACAAAATCACAAGGCTGATAATAGTCGTAAGTATCATTTTTATTTTATTTCGATTGTTATAATGAATAACTTATTACAATTATTTATTTTTCGAAAGCTTACTGGGTGACCGGACCGCTATTAACATAACTCAAACGAAGTCATTTATATCAATATTATTTCACACGTATTTGAAGTCAGTTTTATTATTCTAAAAGTTTGTTTAAACAGCGACTCATATAACTGACATATTTTATGATCTAATATTTTATTGTTGTGTGCATTTTCTTGCTTTTACATTTATTATGTAAGCCTTTATAGCGTTTTGTGAATAAGCTGATGAAAAACCTACTAAGGTACCAGAAATCCATGCAAGACTCGCACGGAAGATGCGTAAGTACGCGACGGCTCATCCGTCGAGTGCAAGTTTACCGACACCGATGCAACTATGATGAAACGCTTCTTAGATCAGAAATGTACCAACCCTAACAGCTGATTGAATCATGAATTATTTTAGAAAAAACTAAAGCATCATGTAGCGTACCGTAGTGAGGTTGGGGACGAAAAAACTTTCAAGTGTGGACAAATTTCACAATAAATAATAAAAGTACCTTATAAATATATGTACCATTTCGTAATTTTATCACAACTACAATCCGTCCGATTCAAAAGGACACGGAATTTTTATTACTTATTCTGTAACGAATTCAGGGTATCTCCTTTCTTTGAATGAATTTATAATAATAATATTTGGCTCTTTGTAGCAACTTGGTTCACCCGAATAAAATATGGAGAATCCGCGTTGCTACAAAGAGCTTCGATTGTTTATGACTTGTTATATTTAGTGAGAACATCGCCCGTTTTCACTAACTTAGACTTAAGATTAAGAATAGCTTAAGTTTTCGTTTCACCAAACTTGTAACGTTTGGTAGTGCCTTGCTTAGGTAGGCAACGTTTGTCTATATTATACATGCTTCAGTTCGTCTTCTTTTTTTTATATATGGTCTTTACACGTAAAGAGACAATAAAAACAAATTAAATTTTGACGTAATAAACCAAGAAAAATAATACGTCGTCTTGTTACACGAGCGCTTAAGTCATCAATATACGTATATAAAAAGTCCGAAAAATTCAAGTTTTTATAATATCTATACAATATACTAGCTTTCCGCCAGCGGCTTCGCCCGCGTGGCCCGCTGGTACCTTACTCATAGATTTAAACTCCCCTCCCGCACGCGCACCCTCGCCTTGGTAACGTCCACTTCGCAGCAAAAATCGTAATACATATTTTAATTTCGCCATAACTTCAAAACCCAAATATCTTATTGAACCCATTTTTTTTCCTAAATCAAATATAGCCCATGTTACTCGTGGATAATGTAGCTTTCGAATGGTGAAAGAATTTTAAAATCGGTCCAGTATTTTTGAGTCTATTCATTGTGTAGGCGACTGGCTGGAAAGCGCCATCCCTTTTGATTTAGTTTATGTCATATTTTTTATATTGTTCTTTTACTTACTCTTTGTTTGCTGTTGTTGGATATTGTCGTTTGCTGTGATTTGTGATTTATTATTATTATATTTTATCATACATCCATTAGTTTTAATTTACAGTCCTCATCCCCACTAGCTATCATTTTGGTCCATTCGTTCCGTAAGTATTTGTAAACCAGTTTCCATATTTTTTATGTATTGTCAAAAATTTTAAATTCATTATTATTCACGTAGTTATCACAATTTTCGTAGATAATTTTTTTTCATAGCATCATTTCATCGTCATTACAATGGTAAACACGCGTAGTCAGATTAAAATCGCGAGTGATGATTCAGTATTGCCTTCCACCACCGCGCAACCTTCGGGAGGTGCACCCTCCGTTGCAGCACAACCTGCGCTCACGGCACACCTCCCAACGCGGAACATCGACAATACTGAACCATCATCGCGCACTAAAAGTGTTTCTAGTCACAGTAAACGAACGACAAGCTCACGGACGCACACATCGCATTCGTCTGCCACCGTGCGAGCACAAAAACTTGCAGCTGAAGCAGAACTAATGCGACGCCGCGTCGAGCGCGAAAGGCAATTAGCTGAACTCGAGTACGAAGCCGAACAGGTGGAATTGGAGGCAAAATTCGCAAAATTGAAGACCTCGGATAAGTCAAATCATTCCGGTAACACATCTATTATTAGTACAGAATCGTGGGTCCATCGCCAAGCAACGATGACTAACCAGGCCTTACCAGGCCCATCTGTCAGCCACGCCGCCCCACGCATTAATGTTGACGCCGTTCCGACGAATCCTCCATTCGATTCTATAAATACGTTAGCCAGAGCCATTGCTGCTCTTGCCGATCGGCCGAAAAGACCCGATCTAGTAGCATTTTCCGGTGATGCTACGCAATGGTTAGCGTTCAAATCCAGTTACGAGAAAACTAAAACATTTTATTCTCCCACAGATAATTTGGCGAGGTTAAACAGTGCAATTCGTGGTGTCGCGTACGAGACCGTCGCCCCCCTTTTATGGACTGCGAGTGAACCCGAAGAAGTCATACGGGCCCTCGAGCAAAGCTTCGCCCGGCCCGAGCTCCTCGTAGCACGCGAGCTCACTGACCTGCGAAATCACACCAACATCGTAACGCCAGAGGATTTGAACATAATTGCTAATAAAATTCGTAATTTTATAGTAACTTTAAAACAACTAGGTGAAATTGATTACTTATACTCACCTGAACTTTTTCATTGTGTTCTGCATAAACTTAACGATCGTACCAGGGATCGCTTCACAGATTTTGCTTCTTCTAATGCAAAACCCAATGTCACCAAATTGGAATTGTTGTCTCGCTTCTTGTTAGAAGAAGCAAACAAGCAACTAAAATATAACTTTTTCGTCGATTTTAGTCACAACGCAACAAAACATCCTAAAAAAGAGTTTGTGCGCGTAATTACACCACCACCAACTACTGAATGCAATTTCTGCAAACAAAATACGCATAATATCAGAAACTGTAAACACTTTTTAACTCTCACTTTAGAAAAAAGGTGGGAATGGGTTCGAAAGTCAAAAACTTGCTACCGTTGTTTAAAGTCGAACCCACATAAATGGAACAACTGTCACACCAAACCTTGTGGAGTTGACGGATGCTCAAGACGGCACCATAAACTACTCCACGGCATGTTAGCCGCAACGCCATCAGCCCTGCGACCTAACACAGTGGCAGCAACTAAAATTCTTGAGCCGAATTTCGTTTGCGAACCGAATAGTGATTTTAACACCTCTAATGTAATAACCAACACAACAGGTTTGCATAAGTCGTCGTCTCGCCCACATGGACTACTGAAGGTTCTTCCGGTTATCGTCGAGGGTCCCGATGGCGAGTTCCCCACCATGGCATTGCTTGATGAGGGCAGCACGGCAACCCTGATCGACAGCAAAGTAGCGGCGCACATCGGCGCGAAACTCAATGACAAGGGAAGTCTTAGTATTGAAGGCGTTAGCGGCATGCACAAAACTGTCGAGGCCGGCTACGTTAAATTTTTCATTCGAGGACGTAACCAGTCTCAACGTTATCTCATTGAGAACGCCCGTGCGATCACTCCACTCGGATTACGAACTCAAACCCTGCCACCTATCAACCTTGCCCATTACAAACATCTTCGTGATTTAGTCGACTATTTCGACGTGTTGAACGATTCTATCTCACCAACTGTGCTTATAGGAGCTACAGACTGGCACTTATCTCTGAGTCGTGAGGTTCGTACGGGCGGGAAAAATGAGCCGGTTGCTTCAAAAACTCTTTTAGGCTGGGTGTTACATGGTGCTCTCTCTTCCACAACAAGGCCTATAGAATTCATTAACCATTCATGTAATTGCGATAATTTGAACGACCTTGTTAAAACACAATATGAAATGGATTCTATAGGCATAATCAAAAAGGTCCAACAGCCTAACGATAACGACAAACGCGCCATAGATATAATTGAATCCACGGTTCGGCGACTTGACAATAATCGGTTTGAAGTAGGGCTTCCGTGGATCAAGAACTTACCAAAATTCATACCCGACAGTTATCCCCAGGCATTGTCACGCCTCAAATCTCTCGAAAAGCAAATGTCTAAAAATCCAGATTTTGCTTTAGCATTCCAAAGTTTTATTGAAGATATTATTTGTAAAGGCTATGCTGAAGAGTGTAATCCCAGCACCTACCATAAAAGCATATCCGAATGCACCTCGTCAGAAGATTCGGCCTCTATTCGTTGGTACCTTCCTGTCTTCGGTGTCTTTCACCCACAAAAGCGGAAACTTAGAGCTGTTCATGACGCTGCTGCCACGACTCGAGGAATAAGCCTCAATAGCCTTCTTCTACAAGGACCGGACCTCCTTCAGTCTCTTCTTGCCATTCTTTTTAGGTTTAGAGAAGGACCTGTAGCCCTCAACGCTGATATAAAGGAGATGTTCCCACAAATAAAAATTGCACCCAAAGACAGAGACGCTCAACGATTCCTCTGGCGTGCGAAGGATGGTATGATCCGTGAATACCGAATGGCATCAATGATCTTTGGTGCC